CAGGCAACCGGCACGAGTTTGAATCTTTCTTGAGCTAAAACTCATATTTTTTATCTGATTATCGTAACTTTCCTGTAGCTTGCCAGTGAAGGATTAAGCAACCAGAATCGCTGGATCATCAGCGAAAATCTTGTCAATGCGATTTGTAGAGTATTGTTACTAAAATTGCTGAACGGTTCACGATAAAAGGATCACGAATCCATCAAGTAAAGTATCTTCGATTGATCGACGAACAAGCCATTGTCGGAAAGAAGATGATCTATTAGGAGATGAGTCGTCACCTTTTAATAACGTACCAGATGCGATGAAGAGCCTCCTCTTGCTGTACAGACTTGAGAATGAAGCTCCTTAACACGCGCCCTACCTCTATTCAGCTCCTCTCTGTCAGGTGACAACTACCGGAGACGATTCGATGACCCATTTCATTGATCTCTAGACTTCGCAAGGAGATCTAGAGATTACCCATGTCGTCCTTGTCCAAAGAGAGCCTTCAAGGCTGTAAACAGTACACGACGATCTTCCCAAATGCTTAGAATTCTAGTACATTAGTGATGCATTACTATCGCGATGTCGGAACTCTATTTTCTTACTTTCAACTTAATTTTCACTTCATTTAGTAATAATCTATATGATTTAAATTTACTAAGATATACTTCATTCTATTACATTTCTTCTGACTTTTACAAATATTTATTTGATAAATTAAATCGTCTGTAATCACTTACGTAAGAATTGCTAGACAAAATATTACTTCCACTTGATTCGCACTCATTGGGTGCTTACATCATCCTAACATCCGCACCCTTATTTCTTTTTTTTCATGAATTTTAAATATATTTTCTTTTCATTTCTTAGTATAAAATTCATAAAAAATAGTATGCTTTGAAAAAAAATCTGAATAATTATCAAATATTATATTACATCCTTGTGATCGACTTGGAAAATTACTGCTATTTTTAAAAGTTTTATTGAATTATAATTGATATATTTGTTCAGAAATATTTCTAAATATCTAAAATTTTATATTTTCTAGTTTTATAAATTTTAAATTTTCATGACTTACTTTACAATGACTAAGTCACGTCACTTGTCTTTTCTAGAGAAGGTGTGATGCCAATTTAGTCTCACATTGCTTGTGTGTTGACATTTCTAGTGAATGTATATATAGTAATATGACATTTGTAATCAAGTCTCTTTCTCATACGTGCACGACCACTTCTTGTCCCACAATTGGCTGGCCATCGATAATGTGGAAGCAGAGTGGTGCACAAGTGCCGTTATTAGTCCTAGCCACTCGAGCCCCTACTCGCAACTCCCTAATTGAGCTTCTGACCCACTTGTAGGCTCGGTTGGTTGGCAAGTCCCCCCTATTTTATTATATTTTTATTTTTATTTCTTTTTCTTCATTTATCTCAAAAGTAAGACTATAAAAATCATATAAATTCATATAAATCACATAATTATCCAAAAATTTACGTTAATCAATTGAAAACTACTTTTCACACTTTAACACAAATATAAGTCTATTTATCATGAGTTAAAGCTAAAACTATATTATTTACTAATTATTAACTCATGATAATGAAGACTTATCAATCCACCATTTGTGGCATTAAAGTCATTTAGAATAACCTTTCTATAAAGTGGCCGTATGCTTGTTAATTGTTTAAGATTCAATCTCTAAAATTCATATTCTCCTCTAAATCTCTTAATTTATTAGAAACTGTTACCCCTGTGGGAATTCCACCTTGATTACTCATGTCATTACAACCTTTAGACACTCTTGTCATCACTAATCTTTAAATATTCTTTAAGATCTCTTTGTCATCATCAAATTGCTTAGGTAATAACCCAAATATGTTGCATAAACTCTTAGGTTGGTATAGTTCCAGAACTTTTTTTTTTAAAAAAATTGATTGCTCATTTTAATGAAAAATTGTGTAATTTAAATGACATTTATGATGGAATAGTTGTCATAAAAAATAATATCTTCATATAGCTATCATTGACTAAGCATTACCACTAAAAATATCAGAATGATAAACAAGGGGTTTATATAGCTCCATGAGATGTTGATTCTCTAATTTTTGGATTAATGCAATGAGCATTGAGTAGATGGATTGTAGGAATGAATGCACTGATGGCCTTCGCAAAATATCTCTTCTGATTTCCCAACATTTAGAATTCAATTAACAATTATCATGATCTTTATCTTTTTATTATTTTATGACTGAAATTAATATTCTTCAACTTCGCATTCAGTTTTCATTGCAAAATTTGAAATACATGTTTTTTTGTGTCATCAAGAGTTCTAAAGTGATCGATATACAATCTATAATTGGTTATTGTATGATTTTGGGTTTTAGTTTCTCCATTTTTATTCTACAATCTTCTGCGATTCCATGTTTGCACTGACCAGTGTGGCACCACGAGCTTTTGGCTTTCAGGCTGGACCCTATAGCGACAAATGGCCCCGAACTTGAAGACCCTGACTTTCAAAAGTTGATCGGCGAAAGCCACCACAGTGTGTTCGTCTAAATTTTTTTCTCTTTCTCTCGGTCAACAACTTCCTTGTGAGTCTTCTCTCTCTCTCTCTCTCTCTCTCTCTCTCTGTCAACGGAACGATTCCACAGGTACAAAAAACTTTCGTCCTTCCCGAAGTCAAAAATGCCCAGGGACGCGTACAACTCTGTAGTCGCGATGAGCGCGTGGCAGATAAATTTCTGACTTTGAAATTGTGGGACAGACGTGAATACTACGGGGACGTGGACGGAGTCGTCCTATGTGACGGCACCTAGACGACCGTCTACGCCCGCTGTAGGATATACAGCAGTCGCCGCCAATGTTGTACGACGACCGTTCCCAGATTCTGGTAAGAACGAGAGAGAGAGAGAAGGTTTGAACGGCAAGTCATAACGTCGTCCTTCCATGATGAGAATTATAAGGGAGAGAGAGTGTGCCGCCTAGCCGTCGATCCCCTGGATAACCCCACAACTTCTGGGTTTGGATAGGACGACGTCGCGTTGTATATGTTTCTCAGCCGCCGTAGCCTCCCCACTTCAGGTCAGACAGGAGAGAGACAGAGATAGATAAATAAGAGAGAGAAGGTTTGAACGGCAAGACGAAGACTGGCGTTCCACCATAAGCATTATGAGAGAGAGAGAGAGAGAGGGAGTTTGAACGACAAGACAACACGTTGATATCGCATGCAAAGTCATGTGAGCAGCCGAGAGAGGGAGAGCGAGCGAGGGAGAGAGAGAGAGAGAGAGAGTTTGAACGGCAAGACAACACGTTGATATCACATGCAAAGTCATGTGAGCAGCCGAGAGAATGAGAGCGATCGAGAGAGAGATACAGAAACAGATTGGGAGATAACACATCGTTTGTTGTGGTGGTTCCATGACGCCTGTCCTTCCGTCATCACCTGCGTGCTTCCTATCAGATTTGGAATATGCGTCCTCTTCTCCTCGTCGAGAGAGAATACTGAACGATAAAGCTCAGTGAGAAAAGTGCTGTGGAAACCCACGCCAAGATCTTCTCCACGCGTAGAGACGCATGGAAGGTTATGGAGAGAGAGATTGAGGAGCCGCCCCGTGGTAAGAGCTGAGTCACACCGATATTATTTTTCGTCGGCGACCTAATGAGAGAGAAAGAGAGAGAGAGGCCATGCAATGTAAACTCGTCTTAATTTTTTTTCAAAATTCATTTATGGGTGGTTCCATTCATTAACAGAAATTTATTTAGGCTGAATATTACTACAATTTCATCCACAAGTGGCCAGGTCCGTTCAATTCATTACTGCCGCCCGGCTGCAGCGGTTGGTTCGAAGGAAAGAAGACTAGAGAGGCAATGAAACGAAACCATTCAATGCCCCTATGAAGCCTTTATGTATTAATTATATTGAACACCCCACATTAATGCAGCGAAGCCCACAATTGACCGATTTTATTTTCCAGGCAATAATCAACTTAGAGCCCTTCATCTTGTCCGATGAAGGGCTCCGTGTTTGTTCTCACACCTCGCGTCTTGCTTTCTCACTCTAGCCCGAGTTTCTTCTCCTCCTGAGATTCTAGGCAGGTGATTGATATCCGACAGTTGTGGGCTGAATAATACCGGGATTTCATCCACAAGTAGCCGCGGCCGTTCAATTCGCCACAGCCGGCCGTCTGCACTGGTTGGCTCGACGGAAAGAAGCGTAGAGAGGCAGCCAAAGGAAACTATTCAATGCCCATTTCAAGCCTTTATGTATTAGTTAATATAAAGCATGCCCACAATTGTCTGGTTTTCTTTTCAATCAATAATTAACCTAGATTTAGTCCGATCCGATGAAGGGCTCCGTGTTGGGTTCTCACACCTCCGCTTTGCTTTCTCTCTCTAAACCGAATTTATTTTTCATCGGAGTTCTAGGTGGGTGATTAAGATCGCCATCGTATTGATTGCCCGAATGGTTCATAGATTTCGATCCGTATTTACCAGACGGCAGCGGGGATAATAGAAAGACGGGAGATTTCTGATCCCTCTCCTTCTGCAACAGTTTCAACTGTGGATGCGGTGGTTGGAGCGTCTCTCTCTCTGATTGCTCTGGCGTGTGAGGAACGCAGTAGCTTAGACAACTGAAGAGCTGATGTCTGCTGGAATAATACTTAGACAATTGACTGTAATCGTGTGGGTTCCAGCCTTTTAGGTTTAGGAAGTGAAATTTGTGGAACTATCGAGCTCACGAGTCACTCGGACGATGCTTGAACCACTGGTAAAGTATAGAGAAAACGATACTGAAATCGTATAGAAACTCTGGATTTGATCAGAACCCGGGGAGATTAGTCCATCGGTCGGCATCCAGTAACCAGTCGTATCTGGAACGGGGTATTTAAATGAAATGAACAAATAATTACATGCTGATTATTAATGGATTATAATCCACATTGTGACTCTTAACCGTAAGAAAAAGGGGAAACGAGGGGGAAAAAATGTCAAACAAACCCTCCTCTTTAAGGGCCTAATCAGTATGTACATTCGAAAATGAGGGAGGATGGATCAACTGAGAACTCCGCGATCCTATCGATCTCGTCCCAGAGTCCGTCCTTGAGGAAGAAGTCATTCCCATGGACAGGGTTTGAGTGTAGGAGCAGCGGAGAAGATTGTACCGGCGAGGTCCACTGGTACGGCTGGACCTTCTCCTCGTACTGGACGGCGGCCGAGTTGAAATCGCTCTCCAGGACTGCCGGAGCCGGCGGATGCGTGTAGTGGCCGACGCTGTCCCAGAATCCGTCGGAGTCACCGCTGCTAGTCTTGGAGCCTGAATCGGCGGCGGGGACGGGAGACTCCCATCTCTGTGCCTGGGGATATCTCTTGCACGACACATTGCGCTTGAAGATGCGACAAATAGTCCACATTTCCTGCACCCGAGAGAGTCGGCGTTAGATGCCGAAGGCTTGGAGACGATGACGAGGTGAAGATAGACGAAAAGAGAGATCCTCACCGCTTCCTGTGAGCCGCCACGGCCGTCATCTCCGCCGCAACCGGGGGAGGGAAGGCGGAATTCGTGCATCATCCAGTCGGTCTTGGTGCCCTTCCCGGCGCAGCCCCGGTAGTAGACTAGGGACTTCTTCAGGCCGATGCAGTCACCGCCGCCGCTGCCGCCCGTATATATGGGCCTGTCGATCCCGGTTGCCTTCCAGAAGCCGGACCCGGTGACCCGGTTGGGCCGTATGCTGTTCCTGTACTTCCTCCCCCTCATGCAGAAGAAGTACCACTCCTTGTTCCCATGGCTGTTGACCCCTTCAAAATCTTCAAGAAAAGAAAACTGGTAAGAAAATCGAACTGGCTCGCCCAAAATCGATAACTATCGCATTTACATGTGATTATACGTAGAGAACACCTTTTTTTGTTAGAATACAACGTATATTTTAAGCCATTAATCGTAATTAAAGAAAATCCGTGTGAGAGTTTGATACCTCTCCGTCAAATATCATATTATTATAATGCTTGTGTGGTCCTCTTGTTTCTGGTCCGATAACTACGATGCGCGTAGAAGTCAAAGTTTCATTGCACTGATCGAAAAGGAAAGGAGGTGGTGTGGCGTTTCCTCGCTGTTGATCTGTGCTCAAATTTGATAAGAGTCGTCTACAGCGAACCTCCATTCACACTAGATGCCAATCAGATTTCTCCAACTTGGGATCTGGGTGGGTTTCCTGATTGGCAATTGAAAATGGAGTTGAAGGGTTCAGACGTGGTTGTTGAGGGGTTATGGAGTCTCGATCTTGGTGAGTAAAACGGCTCAAGTACATAGCTTTGGTTCATTCATCTAAGTAGGACGCATTAATGATATTGGACCTTCTGTAGTACCCTTCTCATCCCCCCAATGAGAATTTAATAACAATTAATGGATAGAATGGTCCATGGTTTCTCGGATTAATTAATTGCTACTCTGAATGACTGTTAACATTCCGTAACAGGTTGAAATTTTTTCAGACTCTAGGAATTCGAGGAGGAAAGAGCTAAAGAGAGGCAAGGAGGGGGGGAGAGAGAAAGAGACTGAATCGAAGGAAGGAAATTGAAATCTTTGACGCAAGACGGGTTCTGATAACATTTTCGAGCTTCACGAAAGAAGGATTGATGAGAGGTGGAGGAATGGAGGAAGAAAGAGAGAGAGAGAGAGAGAGAGAGAGAGAGAGAGAGAGAGAAGCTTACTTGGAAGATCCCAAGGATCGTACTTGTAGATGTCCACATGCTTGATGATTTCTATGCTGATGGGCTTCCTCTCTACCTTCCTCCGGAGATAGAATCCCACGAGCTCCTCATCCGTGGGATGAAAACGGAAGCCGGGGAGAACCCGCTCCTCCCTTCCCCCGTCTCCAAATTCCATCACCTCCCTCTTCGTCTTTTCCATGGCTACTGTCGTCCCTCTTCTTTCTCCTCAACCTTCGTTGTCTCCCAGAGGACTTTGATGGGCTCTCAGCAGGAAGAACCCCTTCCGTTTTATAGGGTTCGAGCCTGAAGAGGACACCACTGTGACTACAAGTGGTCCAAGTCACGGCTGTCAGACTCTATTCTCTCTCTTTCTCTCTCTCTCTCTCTCTCTCTCTCCTCTCTCTCCTTGAATGCCGAGTGTAACTGCTTCTCGGAACCACACAATAAGTGCATTGTCTCTATCTAAAGTCGTTCCCGCCGGTTCTCGGGTGGACGGTCTGAAGTTCAAATCAGCCGTGATTTTCCGCCTGCGAGAACCTTCCTGGTTCCTGTCGGCTACTATTTCTGCAGTATCCTGGGTGCTTCTTTGACCGGACTATTTTCCCATGGTCGGACGACATTTTTGTAGGATAAATGCTGTCGAGAAATATAAAATTGTATATGCGTCATACTCGGAGATTATGTGGGCATTGGATGATGGGTGATTCTGGGGTTCGTATCAGGTCATAGGAATCCTCCGTGATCAGGAAGAATTTTGCTGTCTCAGACAGGTTTTAATTGGGCCCTCTCTCTCTCTCTCTCTCTCTCTCTCTCTCTCTCTCTCTCTCTCTCTCTCTATCGATCTTTGATCACGATCTCCGTTATTATCTCCCTTATCACACAGACACTCTGTCTCTAATCATCAATCTCCCTCTACTCTTCTCTTTGGACTTCTCTCTCTGTGTATATATTTTCATCGATCTATCTCTAAACTCGTTCTTTGCCTTCTTTGTTGCGCTCTCTCTCTCTCTCTCTCTCTCTCTCTCGTTCGCTCGCTCCTAACTCAGTTATATACGTGTTATGATTTACACCATCTCTGATGGGTTATGCTGTGAGCCCAGAACATGGATTCAAGCAGGTGGAAGAACAATCCGCTAGATTAAACTAATTATTACGAAAGAGACAATCGCCATGATGCCGCAGCGCCATCCTTCGGCATCGTCCTCGCCATTCTGCCACTTGACTGGACACAATTTCCACATTTGCTGACTTTCCTTTCGTAGAACTGGTCAATAAAATACTACCCCCACTTTGGAAAGAGGTTGATCATCCTCTCCACATCTCTCTCTCTCCCCCTCTTTCTCTCTCTCTGAGAGGAACCCTGGAACCGTGGCATCTAACAGCTGGGCTCCATCCATCAAAGCGGCGCAAGATCACGAACCAGAGAGAATCTCCATTTGAGAGATGGCTACTGAAGTCAACCATCAAGACTTGGTCATCTTTCCCTTTGTGGTGAGGATCCGTGGTCGGTTCAAATCAGTCAAGATCATCAGGACCGGTCGTCACTCCCCAAATCCCGTCATCTGCTTCCGGGATCATGATCTTCCCTGCTCCTCCCTGGTTCATTTAGTGAACTCCGGCCTCCTCGACCAGACTATCAGTTATAGACATCTTGTCATTAAGAACCTTAAGATCCTCTCTGATAGAGACATCCTCAGTCGATGGCGAATTTTCATTTCAACCCCCCATCAAGCTTTTCCTCTCTGATTTACCTCTCCAGGACGCGTTTGTTCCCCGCAAAGAACGGAAGAACAAGAGAGAGAAGGAGAAGTTGTGGGTGAACGGGGGGAGAAAGATACTGATAGGGCAGAATTCAAATTTTATTATTTTTAGAGGTAATTGAGGAGATAAGGTCGAGAATCTTGGAGGGGGAAGGCGAGTTAGGGAGAGCGAGGGAAGGCGTAAAATGTGGAACTGAGGAAGAAATTTGGAGTTCAGAGTGACAGCTAATCAATGCGCGTCGGTTTGACCCGGTCAATTCTTACGTGGCAGCACGGCGGGCCCGCACGTAAGCAACGGGCCAACCGATTTCGGATAGTCATCGGCTGTGGACGGTAGGCAGACGGAGTCGTTGGTCGATGTGATAATTAATTCATTTATTCTGATTAATAGACGATTAAGACGTAGTATCCAATATGTTAGTAATCTCGTCTTAAATATACTAGTATTTTCGCTTGAAAAACTCCTCCGAATCCGCCAAGCCGGACCCACATGCAGTTTTCACCACAGACAGCTGACACACAGAGAGATAGAGAGAGAAAGAGGGAGATATAGAGAGAGAGAGAGAGAGAGAGAGAGAGGAAGAGAGGTCCGAAGTAGTGGCTCGTGGAGAAGAAGTGATCTTGAGGAAAACGAGAGACCCGACCTGGTCGGATTTCCGTCCATTAATGGAGCTTGAGGAGGACGACGTGGTCGGGAGACCGGGGACGTTGTCTTTCAGAGAAGGGAGGCCACTCCACGAGGGTGAGCGGCGGCCGGCGGAGGAAGTGAGGCGCTGTGGTCGGCGCCTGTTGACAAGGGTAACCGGTGGACGGAGAAGGGCCTCTCTTCTCTCTGACAGGAGGTTCCAGATGAATCATGCCCACAGAATTCAATTAACAGCTGCCGATATCCCTTTCTTCCATCAATTCTTGTCTTCTTTCCCTTATTCTTCGCGCTCGCTGTATCTCTCCCTCCCTCTCTCTCTCTCGATCTATCTATCTTTCTCATTCTTTGTTCCTTGGGAGTTTTTCTTCGGGAGAGAGTGTTAGTCAATCCTAAATACATATGATAATGATCTGAATGCGAGGGGGAAGACCGAGAAAACATCTCCGGAAGTTACCTGGGGGAGACTCCGTCCAGTGGGTCAAAACTGTTTGAATTCCAGAACGGGTGGTGGGCCGCCAGGTCACGCGGTAGGTTCGAGACCCCAGAGGACAGTTGAAAATCTTGTCCCTCCGGCCTCAGAAGAAACATAGATGGCGTTCCTTTCCTTGGAGGAAGGGTAAGTAAGAGAAAGAGAGAGAGAAGAGAGAGAAGAGAGAGAAGAGAGAGAGTTGAAACCCGATTCAAACCAAAAACAACGACTAGAGTAATACCCGTCTATCGCATCTGTTCTTGGCAGTTCGCAATGTTCTAATACGTGGGGAAATCTCTAGCGAATCCGTCTCAGTACCTCCGGCGGTTTTGACATTGACAGGAAAACCGCTGATCATCAGCGATTAGGTCCAACTTTTTAACTGCGAGAGAAAAAATTTCTGCCTCTGCATGGAATGTTGGACGTTCCCATTGCCATTCACGCCGCCGGTTTTCAGCTCCACTCCTCTCTGCTTTTACCTGAAAGGTCAAAACGACGTCGGAGCAGATGACTATGGTGAAACCGTCCCCCTATATTTATCAACATCTTGACCTAAATTGCTTCCCATTATAGCCGAAGCATGATGCTGGATCCCAGAAGAACAGCACCATTTTGGCCCCGTCTGCATGAACGAGAAGCCCGTGCAACTACGGCGGTTTTGCCACAGAATGAAAAGAAGACCGTCGCTATTCAGAGGCTCAATGGCGGCCAAGAGGAAGACAGATAGACCGTCTCTCACAGCTCTGAGATTTCCCAGCATGGCAAGGTCAATGGGTGATGAGATGAGATGAGGTGGGTTCGATCCCAAGCTCGTGGCGGCCAAAGGTCAAGGGGAAGACAGGCAGCTAGTCTCTCGCAGCTCTGAGATTTCCCAGAATGGCAAGGTCAACGGGAGATGAGATAGATGAGTTCAAACCCAGAAGGTCATCAGTAACCAAAGGCCCATCTAATTCTAGCCAGAGAATGATATCTTTGCAATTGGCAAGTTTCCAGTCAGGGTGGGTTACATCAGATGCCTCTTCGGACCAAGAAACTCATAAGATTATGGTGGTAATTAGGATCAGGAACTTTATGGAATATGCAGATAATATTGTAGACATATGGTTGGTGGAGATGAAGAGCATGACCAAGGAATCAGAGTCGTCAGCATACGCTGCATGGGAGACAGGGATCATGGCCACCGCCACGGCGTTGACCTCTGAAGCCCAAGCCGCGATGAGAAAGAACATCGATTTTTGCACCCAAATCGTAAGAATATGACTCGGGTCAACGTTTTTCTTGGGGGTTGTGGGTCTAATTATGGAAATATTGGGATATTTGATTTTTATGATTTTCCTAGCGTTTTTTCTCAAGATCTTATTGAAGTTTTCTCAGAACGTCCATGTTTTTCAGATCATCATGAATTCATCACTTTCAGCTGCTACCCTCACATTTTGTCTTAGAAGGTGTTCTTCTGTGGGGGCCTCCTGATTGGCTTGCCCGTCCTTTTTACGTTGACTGCCGTGTTCGAACAGGCCTGAAAGAGGCCAAAGTTGAACTACTACGTTGACTAGAGTTTGACTCCATGGCAAGAGAGAGAGAGAGAGAGAGAGATCGTCTTTCGTGGGAGAAGGAAGACTACTTTCTCAGTACTGAAGAGAACTATAGAGAGAAGAGAGCTACTTAGGCTGACTCCTGCATTTGGGAACTCTGTATGTACACCGAGAGAGAGAGAGAGAGAGAGAGTCTTTCTTGAGAGGAGGAAGGATACTGAGGACTTTCTCAGTAGTACAAAGAACTATGGAGAGAGGAGGGTTACTGGGGAAGACCTCTGCATTTGGGAACTCTGTATATACACCGAGAGCGACCGAGCGAGAGAGAGAGAGAGAGCCTTTCTTGAGAGGAACAAGGATACTGCGGAAGACTACTTTCTCAGTAATATAGAGAACTATAGAAAACTTCTCCATTTGGGAACTCTTTATATATGGATCGAGAGAGAGAGAGAGTGAGAGAATGAGAGAGAGAGCTGCAGCGGCTCTCCCTCTCTTCCCACTGCACCAGTACTACTGTCGGGCATGCCGCAGACGTTGATGGGAAGAACCCGCTCAGCCCATGCGGACCACAGCCCTCCAGAAATGCCGGAACTTCACCACCTCCTCCTCCTCGTCCTCCCCGTCCTCCCCTCATCCCATCCTCCTCCTCCTCGAAGAAGAAGCCCGCTGCACCCGCCGCCGCGTTGACCTCCGCGCTCTTCACGCTCTATCACTCTCCTCCGGCGCCCTACGCCACCGCTTCGCCGCCAGCCGCCTCCTCGATGCCCTCCTCCGCCAATGCGCCGCCGCCCCCGCCGCCTACACCACCGCCGTTTTCGACTCCCTCCACCAACCCGACGCTTACACCTGGAACGCCTTCATCGCCGCCCAATCCCGCCGCCGCTCGCCGCCGGCAGCCTCTCTCCAGCTCTACTTCCGCATGCGCACTGCGGTGGCAGCGCCGCCCACTGGGTACACCTTCGCCCTCCTCGCCAAGGCCTGCGCCGCCGGCCCGCCACCGGCGGCGGTGGCGGAGGGGAAGCTGCTTCATGGGCAGATGATGAAGTGCGGCGTCGAATTGGCGGCGGTGGTGAGGAATTCCCTCATGGCCATGTATTGCGGAATGGGCCTCCTCCAGGACGCCCGGAAGTTGTTCGACGAAAGTCCGAGCCCAGATCCCATCCCCTGGAACACCATGATCTCTGCTTATGGCAAGAATGGGGAGCTCCGAGAAGCCTGGAGTCTGTTCGAGAGAATGCCGCACAGGAATCTGATCTCCTGGAGCGCCATGATCGACGGCTGCATCCGCTGCGGGGAGCACTCGCAGGCGCTGACCCTATTCAAGAACATGCAGGTCAACGGCGGCGGCCTCCTCCCCGACGCCGTCGCCGTGGTCAGCGCCCTCACTGCCTGCACCCACTTGGGGGACCTCCACTATGGGCGGTGGCTCCATCTCCTCGCCCTCCGCCGCCGCCTATCGCCGGCGGAAAACCCACAGCTAGCGGCGGCGCTGGGGGACATGTACTGCAAATGCGGCAGCTTGGAGGCGGCGCTGCAGGTCTTCGCCGCCGTCCCCTTCCCGGACGTGGTGCTCTGCAACGTCATGATCAGCGGGCTCGCCCTGCACGGGCGGGGACCGGCAGCGCTGGAGCTCTTCCGGCGGATGATCGGCGCCGGTGCGCCGCCGCCCGACGGGTCCACCTTCGTCGCCGTCCTCAGGGCCTGCGCCCATTCCGGGCTAGTGAGAGAAGGCCGCGAGGCCTTCGCCGCCATGGCCGAGCTCGGCGTGGAGCGCCACCGTGAGCACTACGGGTGCCTGGCGGACCTGCTGGCGAGGGCGGGGATGGTGGAGGAGGCGGAGAAGGTGGTCAGCTCCATGCCCATGGAGCCGGAGGCGGCGCAGTGGGGGGCGGTGGCGGCGGGTTGTCGGAGCCACCGGAGCGCCGCCGTGGGGGAGCGCGTGGGGAGGAGGATGATCTCGCTGGAGCCGAAGGATCCGGGGAGGTACGTGCAGGTGGCGAATGCCTACGCCGCTGCCGGCCGGTGGGAGGAGGCGGCTGCGGCGAGGGCGGCGATGGAGGGGGTGGGAGCTCGGAAGGAGGTGGGGAGGAGCGTCGTGGAGTTAATCCCCGGTGGTGGTGGAGGTGGTGGAGGTGGTGGAGGTGGCGGAGGAGGAGAGGGGGGGTGGCTGTCGCCGGCGACGGCAACGGCGACGCCATCCGGGGGGTGAAGAAGCTCAGGCTGTGCTTCGCTGCTCGATCATCTGGGTCCTCCATGGAATCGTACGTGAGAAGAACAGAGCTAAAAAAGGAGCCATTCATTTCATTAGAAGTCGATTGCTGCTACGACCACTGGATCAGCAGAGCCCATGGATGTCTGATTTCTCAGAATCTGAAATATGAAAAAATTAATTCACAAATAAGAAACGTTATTTATTACACAAAAAACTGATGACACGCTGATTATATCTTTATAATCAGGGGAATTTTGGAATGAATATAGTTTCTTGGGGAGCTGGGTTGAAGATGCCCGTTGACCTCTATGCGTCCTGTGGATGAACTGTCTGTCCCACTTGAATCCAGGTCTCTCCATCGTCGTCCTCTGCTCTATTATTGCCCAGAGACTCCTCGTACCTCAATAGAATGCCAAAGAGTATCTTCCCCTGCAAAAAGAAAGAGGATGAACTCAGGGAGTTGGATTTTCTCTGGGTAGAAAGAGGATCTTTGATAAAAACCTACAATCTTGATCAAGGAAAAAATTAGTTGCTGCTTAGCGTAGAAAAAATTAAAGACTTTAGTCTAAAGAGATAGGTGTATCCACTGAAAAATTACCTGTCTCTCTCTCTCTTACTCAGGTTTTCGGGTAGATAAAAATCTATCACTCTGCTCTAGTAGAAATTTTAAAGACATTTATTAAGAAAATCTTCATATCCATAGAGAAACCATCCATCTCTCTCTCTCTCTCTCTCTCTCTCTCTCTCTCTCTCTCTTTCTCTGTAGAGAAGGAAACTAACCTTTTGAATACTGAAGTCAAGGCTTTTACTTACATGGGTCCGTCTATATGATGCTAAAGTCACCAAGGGTTCCTTTGATTTTCCGGAGAGAGGATCGAGGTTGATCATCTGGCAACGATTGCACCCACCCAGTGACTGCGGTGAGAAAAGAGGAGACTGTTCATGCAAATTTTCTATACCGCTTGAAGTTTTCAATGGAAAAATTGAATACTGAATAAACATAAGAAAGGCATAAAACTGGATATCATGGAGGAGACTTTTGTATCAACTCTCATGTTGATGACTGAAACTGAAATCGAAGCATCTTTCTCATGAAGGTTACATGTCAAAAATAATTTGTATTATCGGTGATCATGAAGGAATTTGAAATGGATGAAATGGGCAGACGTTTAGATGGAAGAACCGTTTTTTGGAGGGAATTATGTTCTGTATTTTCTGAAGTTGGGAACTGAGATCTGGGTAGAATCATGCTGAAGGAAACTTGATTTGTATCGATCTGGCATCTGGAAATCAAGGGAAAATCTGCTACATTTCTGGTATTAGCATTCGAAATATCAGATAAAGAAGATAATGCCCCCTCAAAAACTCTTGGAAATTTTTTAGTTTTTGTATTTCTAAAACCCGTTTAATTCACAATTGATGTTACTTTTAGGTAGGAAATATTCCATTATTTCTAATTCAAAAATCTTATTTTGCAGGGTGACTCTAATTTAGCATTACTTATGAAAGCAGCTGAAGATTCCAAGAAATCATGCGATGAATTCTTACAGTAAAATGAGCTCTGCCAATCTGAAGACCCCTCCAGCTATCTTCTGCATAGGGTGGTGATCCTGAGATGACAATATTGGGACGGAACCTCACTGGGTTGATGGTGTTGGGCTGCTCTGGTCTGAAATTCTTCTCCTCAATATATTCTGCCAAAATAATTGGATCCAAAAATATGAAAATAAGATTATTCTTCTTTTTTTGCAACGGAGAAAATATATCCACCATATCAGAAATCATTAAAGATTAAAATACTCGAGAAAATAATGCAACATACCCCATAAAAGACTCACTGAACACTCTAATTCCTACTAAAAAGAGAACAAAGCAGGCAATGAAGAGATGGAGGAAATGGGCTGCTGATTATGGTGAACAATAAGCGATATTAGATGTTACAGTAGAATAAAATTATGTCAATGGGTAGATTGACCCATGGGTTCAGCCATTCGATGGGCATTCATCATCATCGCAAGGGACAATATCTCAAAGCTTGAGGAAACATAGGTGAATAAGTGGCTCACTTGATCTTATTCTGCTATTCAGGTCTCCAATGCTGTCTAAGGATATTAACAGTAGTTGAGCTTCATTGACAAAATTCAGCTTGGTCTTCACATCTCTGCATGCATTTCCTGTGTCCCCCTTCTTACTGCAATCCTGATATTTGAAACTTTGGCATCTCACCAGAACACAAGGACGCGCAATGGCAGTGATGAACCACTCGTTGACTTCTTTGCCATATTCCTGAACTTCATACCTATAGACAATGATTAATAAGGAAGATGGTCAAAGTAGCTAAGACATTAAATGATGAATAATTTTAAGGAGGCACAAATCATGTGCTTTGGATATGGCAACTGGAAGTTGAATAAAGATACAAACTGAATCAGAAAAACTGGACTCAAACGATGAGAATGAGTTTGGAGTTGCTGGTGTGCAAGCAGTCTATTATTAATGGATCTTGTAAATAGCCTGCTCACCATCACCCAACTTATTTCTAACTGAAAAATATAACTGAAACACTGATTTCACATAATATCAAAATGGTGTATGTCAAATAATAATAAAAATGCAAAAATAGCCTGCTCATCATCACCCATATTATTTATAACTTAAAAAAATAACTGAATCACTGATTTCACATAATATCAAAAGGGTGTATGTCAAATAATAACAAAATGCAAAAATAGCCTGCTCATCATCACCCGCATTATTTTGAACTTAAAAATCGAAATGAATCACGGATTTCCCGTAATATCAAAAGGGCGTATGTCAGATAATAACAAAATGCAATAATCTATGAATAAACGTAGAGTTTGAAGGCTGGAGAACGTTCACTGACTACTGCGGGAATTGCCGCAGCTGCCTTAACTAGAGGCAAGAAGGGCTCAAAGGAGATGAAAGTGCATTGGACTGAGGTGAGAGGAATTTTTCAAATCGATTTTAAATAGTGCAAACACGCTAACAAATAGATGTAATCCACTGATCGCCCTTTATCTATTTTAATATTTTTATAAAAGAGTCTCTAAGGTATGATTATGTAACAGATCTGAGGAAGAATTACCCAACTCTAGTTGAAATAAAAATGCCAGAACCTTGTGAGAAAATTAGAAGAAAAAAAAAACTATTTGATTCATTTCAGGAGGGAAAGCTCTAATATATATAACTGAATGACGGGTCAAAATGCAAGCGAATAAAGAGAAGGATATGGTTCGCTTTGATATGCACCTTTGACCATAAACATCTAGCTCTTCTCTTGGACTGTGGCTAACACGATTTTCAATAGATATCTCCAATTTCTCTTCACACTTTGGAGACTCCAATCTTAGCACCCCCTGAGTTATATCAATAAATGTTGAAACTTTGGACATTTCTGGAACCTGAAAGAAAATACAAATTCTTTTATGTTTTGACCCATGCAAAAGTTACAGAAACCAAACAAGAAGAAATTATAACCCCTTTAAAAAACTATACAGAATTGTATAATTATACAAAAAATTACACAGAATCAATATTTTCTATAATAATTTTATTTTATTAAAAAAAACTATAATAGTCAACAGTAGAACCACAAATGACAGTCAACGTTCCTTTTCACATAACCCTAACACTCAAAATGGTCCAAGCATACTATACTGTGGGATTCATCAAAGCAAATAAAGATAGTATTTTAGCCTTTGGATTCTACCTGACTTAAACCATACCAAAGAATTAAATTTCATTCCTTCACAAGTTTTGTTTGGAAAAAAATTGGTGCCTTTGTGCACCCATAGTTTGGTCACTTTTCAAGAAAATAGGAAACACCTACTGTTAAAATGTGAGTTATTTATTTTTTTGTGAAGAAGAAGGTGAGAGAGATGAAGAGATCAAAGCAAAGGGGTGCACAAACTCTGGCCTGGGATTCTTCCCAGCGTAATTACACTTCCATGTCCGGGGATTCTGTTAGTTTTCAAAGAGGATATGAAAGACCAAACTATCAAAGCATTGACTGCAGAAGTATGGATGCCTAGGTTAGAGTGAAGAATATAGTCATTGATCTGGAACAAGCTTTCACGTCTAAGATACCAATAAATCAATCACAGGTGAAGAAGAATGGCTCTCAGAAAATCATCAAAAGAAAAGCAATCTTCAGCCAAATTTGAACCTAACTTTGTTTAAGAAATTGAAGGATTTATGAGTGACCATGACCTTGAACAATATGACCTACGAGGAGATGAATGTTATCATTAGATAATGCTCTAATAGACATAGGCTAACCTTCTTTTGAGTAAGTACTTCACCACTCGGAGCTTTCAGAAGCCATTCTCGGTCATATCTCAAGCCTGTGCATAATCACAATAAAAATGAAAATTAACTCAAATATAGCCATATGAGATTGTGGTCAAGTAAAGCAATTTAAAATGACTTTCATCACATCCTTGCAATATGGTGGACAAGGAAAGCTTGACATGTCTTGACCTTAGAACAGTGATATTATAAGAAAATAAAAAATAATAGTAAAACCTTATTTATATAGGAACCTTAGGTCAATAGGCTGTTCATTTTTACAGACAACAAGGTTACTTATCTGCTGTCTAAAATAATAGGGTGTTCCTTTCTAAATGATGTCAATAAACCTTATTTCGCCCATTATTCAGATGAATGAAGAAAAAAATTAAAAATTAAAAAAAAACCCTCCTCACTCTTCAACGTACAGTTCGACCTGAGATAGAATTTCTATTAGCTTAGGCTTAAGCAGCCACCCAAAGATGGATTCAATAAGGCCAGACTGCTCCACCTATCAAGGTGAGATATTGTCGGTGCCTGGACTAAACAAGACTAGTCTTCCCTAGGGGAATCAAGTCAGCCTCAGCAAACCCACCAACTGAGTCTGAATTGGGATGGCTTGTCTATGCAGAAAAGAACGTTGAACTAAAGCACATCCGAAGAGAGATCCCTGGAGGGGTTTTGAGACGGCCCAGGTGGCCCTAAACTGGGGATGAAAAACCTCTAAAGGGAGATCCCTGGGGATCGACCAGCCCTTAGAAGAGGATGGAGCTCGGTCAGCCTAATTTGTTTCTATGCACCTCTGATGAGGGATAAAAGTATCAACTCCTATTAATGATAGGCAGGTGACTAGCATCATTAACTGTCCATTAGTCAACAGCAAGAAAACAAAATTTGAAAAGAGAATTTATATCTAATAATATGAAGCTCGTGGAACGTCTAAATTCAGTTAGTAGGGGGTCTTAAAACTAGTGTTTTGAGCGTCCTAGGTTCAAGAAGCCGGAAAAGAAATAATAAACAATGTAGCGAGTGACATCAGATTTGCATGTGGCTAAACAGAGAATTGGAAATGGAAGTAGAAGACACAAACCAGTGCAGCTTAGAGGCCAACTATCTGTACTAAATCCAGCACAAGATTTTATTGGGTAAATAGTGATAGACTTCAGATAAATGCCTCTGGTTTCTGGTTCCCGCAAGCTAGCTGTAAGAACAAGAAAATAAAACCGGCAGATGGAATGATTAAAAGCGCATCCTACTAACATAAGTATAAAGAGGAAAAATAAAAGCATAGCTTAAAAATGCGAAGAACAAAAGGAAGCTTCATGAATAATTGTTCACTGAAAAAATTAATAATTATTTCTAACAAAATGTTCGAAAACTTGGGCTATAAGTGATGCACTTAAACTTAAATGAGCAATAAGCGTCATCAAAGAATTTCAGAAAATTGAAAAAAATAAGATAAAAGGCAAAATATAACAGAACATGATCAGAGACTAGAACACCAAAAACTCCTATACAAAATGATGAGCGACAGGCGGTTTGTTCTCTGTGATGCTCAGGTTCAGTCAGCAGAAGGCAACTGTATCCACACCACTGAAGGAAAAGATAACTTACATTTTCTGATAAAATAACCAAACAATATTGATTTCTAGAGGCTGACGACATTGACATATTGGATATTTGCCTGATTGCGTAGATTATGAAATCTCAAGATGTACACATTCAACTGTGGAGTTTTAGTCCATCCAAGGTGTAGAAAATTGAGAGAACCCTCTATCACGGAGGACAGAGGGGAGAACAGTGGAAACCGCCTCAATTCCGTTCAACTATTACACCCCTTAATATAGGGAGAAACCCTAGACAAATTTTCAAAAAACACCCTCAATTTATTACATTATTTCCCTACGACCTAGAACTTCCAACAGAAGGTATGCAACAAAAGTCAAGTACCGAGAATTCTTCACTCACTGGCTCTCTGTTGGAGCATACTGTTGAGGGATGAAACAGTCTCACTACCTAGACGATCAGGGCATAAAGCTCTCAGAGAATCTTAAGTAATGAGAACGATTATTTATGCATTTTCTCATGTCACTTTGATGAAGACATGTCAAAATAATCTGGATGATCATCTTAAAACAAGAAAAAGAGAGCATTGGAGCTAATAACCGGAAATCCTGGTTGTTTCCAATCTGGATCAGAAAATTAACAAGGTTAAATTAACAGAGTTGAACCCAGAGTGAGGGAGGGGAAAAATGTGGGAGCGGGAGCATAGTACTTTTCCTTTTTCTATACTCCTGTACAAAAATGATACTGTTTAAGTAGCATTGTGCTTATTGAAATAATTGATCCCCTCGGTTACGATGCATAGAGTTGAATCTAACTGATCTGAAGTTTGGCCATCTGCTGCGGTCAAAATGTACTTAGTACTGTCCATGTAGCATGACATAAAAAAGTCAGCCTCCATATGAGGAGACATGTCAGATCTGTCTCACATCAGAGTAGATCAATTAAATGCTGTGATTAATGTGCAGACGTTTACTTGCAAAATTTATATTAAGCTGAATAGACCGATTTTTTTACAGATATAATACTGAATAAGTTTTACGTAATTAAATGTTAAATAAAAATTCAATTTGAAAATGTTGAAAGGCACCATAGAATTCACATATTGAAAATCTAGAAACACAGCTATCAAGATCACATCAATGGCACTTTGCACCCAAACCTCAAAGTTCCAATCTTTTGAACAGTGACGTCATTAACCAGAGACCAATCTAAAATGGGTGATTGGATCACCAATTGAGCTAGGCAGTATCAAAGACTAGTGGCACACTCAACTTGGCAAGATTGGTCACTTACTGTGAGTAAATTAACAACATTTAAAACATTCGACAAAACATAGTATCAATCATGTCCCGTCAGGTAGAAAAATAATGTGAGCGTATGTAAAAGCGAAACATTGATATTCATACTCAAAGAAATGAGGTGTCAGGAAAACTATGTGGTGTATAAGAAAAGCAAAGAACAACTTTATGCATTAAATTTTGCCTTCACTGACTAGGCATCATGCAGCAACAGGCCAATATATTACTAAATGGCCATTAAAATGAGGTAAATGACACACTTCAAATGTCACGAATCACTCAAAACAACATGGTTGTTCGTTAGATTATTTCATTATCAAGAATTGAGATTCTACCAATTTACAAAGCTCTACGCTCTAAGTAGTTCCGAAAAATAGTCTTCAGACTCCAACTATCATTTATCTCGCAATCTGTTGTTGATCCTCACATTTTTTTCAGCAGTAAAATAATGTTCGAAACAAAAAAATTACCTGAGAAAGGAATTAATTTACTTTCCAGTGCATGTTCTTCTCCAAGCGAATTTCTTTTTGATACGAAAGAATTTTCTACAAACTTCAAAAATTTCTGATCAAGAGAAAAAAAAAACCCTCAAAAAAAAGGATTGTCTAATAATAAAAATCAAAACTATTTAAAAGGATGGTCTCAAAAAAAATGTTAGAAATTCAAAGAGATGGACCGAAAATAAGATAAGGAGCCAAATAAAATATTGAAAAATATGTACACGCATTATTAGTCTGGATTGAATTTGGTGGAAAACGTCCAGGACACGTGTAAAACCTTAAGACATTTCCACAAGCCATTTTCAGATAAATAAATACAACACATAATGGGTAGACGAGTGAATTATTCCAAACAACGATAAAAAAGACGAAGATGACAATATTTTATCATAGAATGTCTCATCAAATTTTATGACTTGTGTAGGAAACTAGGGTCTAGCTCCCTCTTTCTAAATTAGTAAATAATAAAAGAAAAGTGCGGAGAAGTTGATTAGGAAAGAAAAGGTAACAAACAAGCAGATTTCAGTGAATTTTAAGTCATATTAGATTTAATTGCTTGTAGCACATAGTTTAATGTTGGATAACGTTATTATGGCGAGTTCTATGATAGCTCTTGATATCCAATACAACTTTACCTTCCATCACCTCCATCTTCATTGCTGTATGACGCTTTAATACGTAACAAACTGGAGAAAGATTATTCATCCTCACTAAACGATTCCAATTGTTATACTGAATGTTTTGACTCCTGGAATAAAGTCCAAAAATCATTTCCACTCTATTATTCGTTTTCTTAAAAGGCTTTATGCTCAATGGTGAAATTCAATGATACAATCTGCCTTCAAATGTAAGTTCGAACATTGAATTGCAGAAAACTTATCGTATTTTTTATATTCTGATTTCGAGTAGCCTTTATCCGTTGAAAATATAATAAAAAATGAACAGTCAGTGAGTCCTGCCATTTCCAGAAAATGCCTTCTTTTGTCAGTCCATTACTTTCAAAAATGAAAAGTAGATAATCATTTCCAGAAAAGATAACCGACAGAAAGTGTTTCCATTAAAATACAAAGCCATTTGACATGACAAGGACACAAATTGCATCTTAGCCACTGTCGAAATACATGAACTAAGTGTATAATAGCTAGAGAAATCACGAACCAATGGAATAGAAAACGGACGCAGAGTATTTAATTTCCCTACTTTCAACTATGAATGTCACATAGACGTGAAAAGAACAGGTTACCCTCGCATCCTCAAGCACTGACATATAACCAAAGGATATCCTAACAGCCCCAGTTGGTTTTCCACGCAGTATGTCACAGTCATCCCAACAGACATGTCCTGCCTGCAAAAACATCTCATTAGCGAAGTATAGCTGACTTACCTGAGTATATCACTGAACCTTGGCGTACCATAATGATTCATCAACAAAAGGCTAGGAAGAAAACTAGTGTTTGCATAATTTACCTCAAAATTGGACATAAGATCTGATTCTGAAAGACCAAGATATTTCCCACATGCACCTGGGTTGCAAAAACAGCCAGTCTACATATAACATTAGAGAAAGAAGTTTGTCAAAAGATCACCTTTGCACATGATTTTAACAATTCCAGAAGTATCTGCGAATTTGATGCAGAGCAAAGACATTTGCTTTCATTAATTCAAGAGGTCGACGAAAACCAATTTTTTTTATCTTTAAGATGGAAGCTTATTTTCTGAAGGTTTTTCTGTCCATTATCCGATGTATTACCATTTTTTATTTTTCATGAAAGCAAAGACGTCTCATCTTTGAATCAAAAGTTCAACAAAGAAAGACAAACCTTTTCTCTTATAAATGGAAATTTATTTTTTATGATTTTTTTGGACCCAGTATGGAAATCAAAGGGACAGGTAATGCAGAATGGGCTTTAATAAAAAAAAATCTAGCCTCTCTTTAGAGAGGCACAACCCCATGTTAATTATGACAAAGGGTGTTGACTATTTGTGAGCAAGAGGAAGGTGCTATTGAAGATTTAGAACAAGTCGCAAGGAGAAGAAGACTGGAAAAGTTAAAAATCTAGCGTCAATGCACAGCACTCAGTAAGATTTGCAAAGATATTTCGTGCAATAAATAACGGAATTAATTAAGTCAGCACATCATGTTATCAGAAACGGGGCACCAAACTAAAGCATTTCAGCATAAAGAACCTTGCATAGGACACGATCTGTCTGTGATTATATACCATGGTAAATAATGTATACTCAGGAGTTTGGCTCTTAGTTGATCGGTTTCCTATTTTGTTAGGTAGTCTCCTTATTTCGTGGCCCTTGTACTTGCCATATGACAAGCAGAGTTTCTTTCCACTGTATATCCACCGCTGCATAGTTTTCATCATTGCAAATAAATGCATTGCAAATTTAATTGATGCTCAGAGGAGCTTATCCTACTTCCAAGGAGACAAAGAGTACAGCAGCGATCCTCTTCCCTCCTATTGTCAAACAAGAGAAGAGAGAGGGTCCAACACACACTTGGACCCAACATTACCCTAATGGGCATTACCAGTCTAGTTATCACTGATGCCAGCCTTTGGACCATTTGAAGTGAAAGAAACAAACACTTATTTTCTCATATAGTGTTTAATTGCCTATGTGAAATAACAAAAGACCAGATCAGTTGTTTTGGGTTAGTAGTATGCCGTGTGCAATCTTTGTGTTGTACATAGTTGAAGCACAAAAAATTTCTGAGAGCTCATGGAATGCATCCCTCACTTTCCCCTAATTTAATGATGATGTGGCATTGCCTTCTTTAAAAAATGGAACTTAGGGTTTGAGCGTTCAGAAATGATAATAGAATTCATGCTAGGTGAGAGAACCACAAAAAAAATACTACATGCAAGCATGAATGCTGTTTTAATAGCCGCCCAAGAATGAATACATAAAGAACATATTTCTACGTTCCTCATCAAATAATAGGCACTAGAAATATATAAATTAGAATCAAGAAATACCGAAACTGGTTCATTTACCCGCAACTGAATCCCAGACAAAGATGCCAGATTTTCCACCTCACGATATCCAAACCAAGACCCATCTGGTCTTTTCAAGTTGAATGCAATAGTAGGGCCCAAGCCCCGATATGAAATCTGGTTAATAACAAACGGAATCAGTTCCCAAAAATTGATTTTTGACTGAATGACTATACAAAAATTGGAAACTAACTAAAATATTTTAATTTTATTAATTCCTATAACTAGATGATGATGCTCTGGAAAAGACAGCAGATATGTAACAACAGAACCGTAAATCACAGTGCAGAGTTCTAGTAAAAAATAAACACAACATAGAAACATGTATCCAGGGAACTAGAGATTTGCCTGCCCAACTGATGTACAATTTACCATATTAAAAAAAGGTTAGAGTAATATGAAGAAGATGACATGTGCAAAGATAACACAAGATAATAATGGTCTGCCACTTGATATCATAAAATTAAAAAAATATAATAAATAAAATGGTTTCAAGCAACTTTGTTCATGATTTCATAAAGAAAAAAAATACAAGGTAAGAGAAAACATGAGTTATTCCATGAAACAAATGAAGTTAAATCTCTAGGAGTAAAAAGCCATATGCAGTCCTCAATGCAGTGCATGCACATTAACAGATTTCTTGGATGGAGTAGAGGGGAAAAAATATACATGTGAACATTTAGCTAGTTCGATCTGCATAGGAATCAAATTACAACGACCTAGAGAATACCTAACAAAAGAGAACGAGTGTTTAGCCTAATAGACCATCAAGACAGCCCATTTGAACCTTCCACGCTTTACCCTTTCAGCCCTTCTGAGCTGAGACCTTTAGGCCTCCCACTTCTACATCACTCATCATTTTGTCTCGAGGTACAACACCACATCTCAACATATTAATTCCAAAGAGAGAGAGAGAGAGAGAGAGAGAGGCACACTAGTTTGACAGCACAATTTAATTTTTTCGTACAAGGCCCTTCAAGTACCTGACAACTTTATAACTCAAATATGTTGACAATGCAAACAGGGCATACAACCTAAAAACAGGGCTTACTGTTCGATTCTAAAAGCATAAGAATTTCCAAGTGAAAAATAAATTGATAACGAGTGTAATAAGCCAAACCTGATAATTATGAATTATTTCCCTTCAATTGAATAAATATTTTTATTAGATAAAATAAAAATATTTAATATAAAATATAATCACATTATTTTACATATCCTTTCATCCAACAGAGGTAAACTTAAACTTCATGCATATCATTCAGTTCCAAACAAAAAATGGCCTTCCTAGAGAAATCAGAGAAAACCAAAGCAATAAAAAAGACTTTCACCAAGTTATTCAACCAGTAAGATACGAACACTAACCTCTGCAATATTTCTTCCATAAATTACGCAAACCTTAGCTCTATTCCCATGTCTCAGTTGCATGAGTGTCTTCCTCACAAAAGTGGCAAGAGATGCGGTATGTCTTCAAAATTCAAATAATGAAATATTTCAAAAAAACAAACCAATGGAAAATAACAACGACATCAAATCATAATCTGAAGTCGGAACAAGAAATAATAGTAGCACATGTTGTGAGACATCTACAATTTTAAAACATAGATTTTATATTACTTAGCCGAATTCCCCCTATTTCTTCAGAGTGAATAAAATAGATGCACACTATGTAATACAGTAATGATCAATTCTGACCTCCTACATTGGAATTTGTGACTCATGCATGGTAACTCAAACCGAATTTCAACCCTAAGTATGCTCGCTCTAGTAACTGTAATGAAGAAAACTACATTATGACAAGACATCCCCAGAAAACTTTTGCTTCCTTACCAATTTTCGAGCAAATACAAACCAGCCTCAAAAATGCTTTATATAAAAAGATACTCAGACAGAACAAAAAAAAAACTTATCCAGGATAAACCCTTTCAACACAAAAAAGCAGCAGAAAAAATAAATTGTGAAAACATTAAAGCACCAATAAATAACCTAAACAAAAAAAATTAAAATTAAGCCGCTGAATTTCTGACAATATTTCAAACAGAAGCACGTTGTTTTCAGCTGACCCTGAATAATGTGAATCCAATATGACCATTTCTTCAGCTCCAATATGCATGGATCACTACTAGACTACTAAACCCAACAGCCCTCAACGGGTCTTTATTAAGCCCTACTTTCTTATGACATCTACATGATGTCCAATATGTAGACAAGAAATGCTCCACATATTCTTCTTAATCAGCAGGTTTAATACTTCTGTGTTGTCCCCCTTCCATATACACTGCTAAAGGATGTACTATACTCTCACACCATGATGTTATCCCTTTTAGTCACAAACCATAGACAAATTCAAACAATTTCAGTCAGCTCGTTCTTTTGGTTGGCATTACAGACAATAGATCACTGCCTTTCCGATCATTGTTTCCAGATAGCCGTCTTCCAAATTATGAAATAACTTCCTTTTCAGTTACCTGTCTGGTAGGCCATCCTTCCATCTCCTTGATAAGTCCAGCAACCTATTGAATTGATCGCCTCTGGTAGCCACTCACCAGAATGGCGTCATACATTCTCTCTCGGAGTTTTGAAACACCAAAAACAATCAAGATACCACTTTTGGCCTCATCATGGTACCATAATGAATTCTAACCATTTCAACTAGAACCTTTAGATAACCCTGAAGCCCAAGGTCCTCTCATTCCAAGTTTCTGTAGGAATCTGCTCATATAATGTTTTTATACAAATTGCAGGCTCCATGCCCAGAAGGAACGTATGCCCAAAAGAAGAACGCTCCCAGTGTTTACCAACTAGTTTTTGAAATCCACACATTGAAAATTCTTGTTATTACTGCAGTATTTTACGAGGTAAATCGGAGGATTGTGTTCCTACACACTATGATAGAGTGACACAGTACTTCAGAACAAGAAAAAGGAATCTGAAAGACGTTTAAGGAAATCGAATTTTAAAATTTCAGATTGGCTTCGACAAGGACTTTGCTTTGAACTAATAGATACGATGCATGTATCATGTCTTTCACTGAAACATCTGTAATGGCATGTTCTTGGGGAAGAAGACAAAGATTACTTTGAACTTAGATTCTAATGTCCATTTAGTAGTTTTGTTGAACAATGGAACGGCCAGGTTTCAGTGGAGGACACAAACTTCAGAAGGACAATTGAAAGGAAGAAGATACCGGCAAGTAATGTGGCAGAAAAAACTATTAAGATGACGATTGGTGAAGGTTAGTCAGCCAGGGAGGCCATGGTGATTGTGCAAAGCGCACCTAGATACATGGCACGAGATTGTGTCAAAATTGAAGAGAGTAATACATAACACAAAGTAGTCTTCACAAGCGTGAATATATCAGGATGACTTGGCCAGTTATTGATATAAGCAAAGCAGTAACAGCCACACTTTATTTTTTTAAAATAAAAGGATCAGAAGTTTTTCTCTCGGGAAGGCATGGTGATCGCCCATGATAATGAGAAGACAATTTTCTATCATAGAATTATTCAAGGAATACATAGTTATCGCACTCATGGAGTAATTATCTGAAAACTTTTGATAAGATTTTACATTGTTTTAGCTCCAGCTCAAAGACAAGTAAATTTTATTCTATATCTTAATACAGGCAGATTGATTGCCAAGTGACTATTTAAAAGATTGAATCACACGATGACAGAAGATCAACTGCAGGTATTATAGTAAAGCCCACTTACATCACTAACACTGCCGCTCAATCTACAGTAAACATATCAAGCATGCTCAACTAATGACAAAAAACGAAAAATAGCTTGGAGAAGCAAGCTGCTTAGCACAAAATGATTGTTGCATGTCCTCAATATCTAACCTTTTTTCTAGATTGTGGCATAATTGAATACAGAGTTGTCAATATTGACAAGATTTCTTGTTCAGGGTAAGTCATAAACTAACTTCAACCATCGCCGGTGCCATCTTCCTTGGCAATGGATGTGAGCCGTCACCTGTGTGGAAGGCAAGCTTCGGATCTGCTGCCACCCCCCTCCCTATCCTCTCCTCTCTAATGCACATCCCTGCTCGTCTTCTCCCTCTATTTTGTTTATTAAAGTTTCTTGGTTTGCTGCAACTCGAGTTGCAGGCGTTTCAGCCCCTGCTGCACAATGAAATGCTCAACTTTTGATCAATAAGAAGCTAGATCCCAGCTGACTCTGTCTCCCCCACGTGCATTCAGGAGATCATGGTAAAAAATATTAATCAAATGACCATATAGAAACCAACTAAATCTTGCATAGAGCAAGCTAAACATGAAGCGACAAAAGTCCCAGATTGCTAGAGAATCTTGAGGACTATTCTTTTCAACTACCGGCGGATGGGGTTGCTGGGTTTCTGGACCGTCAGTATATACTGGATCATTATTATTTTTCAGTTTCCTATCATGCCCGTATCCTCACGACTAATCAATATGACGATCATTCTTTATCTCCTTGTGGAATCAGCACAAACACTTGAGAAGTCAATGTGCTGTGTGAATAAACGTAACTCTCCCAATAACAGTTTTGCGTTTCTTCCCACTCCGTTGTCCACTAATTACAAATAAAATGATATCGTTCAAAATTGTCCATATCTATATAAAACCAAGCACCATCTTACCTTCTAATTGCACACATAGTAAGCGAGTTGATTATTCTAAATCCATGGCGAATGGATGCTATACTCAAAAATGACAGAGTTCCATCTTCAAACAACTGTTCAACGCTCTCCCTCCTCTTGACAAAGTCCATACTGGCTATGGAAGCCAATACTGTACCTGGAGAAAGAGAAGACGTAAGCACATGCTATCAAGCCCATCAACCGATACAAAAATCAACAGAGAATCCAGTTACAGACCTCCACTAAAATATGTCTTTCTTAGCCATTTGGCAGCATCTGAGCAGTAACAGGAAAAAAAAAATCTGAATTTAGTCAAATAGAAAAACGATACATTATTGATACTGGAAAAAAGGGTAACCAGGTTAATATGCCTTCAAATATTCTGGTTAAAAATGAAAAATTCATGAGATTCGTGTATTCAGATGACTTCAAGAAAGGTTAAGAAATATAAATTCCTAAGAATGGTGACATCTACATTCATCATGGTATCCTAATTGGAGAGGCTCTGCAGTAAAAGACTAGTCAGCTGAGCAATGCCCATCAAGAACGTGACTTAGAAAGACAAGTATGGACTTGAAAAAAAACCGACTCACAGAATTCTATCTTTGAATAAGAGACTCCCAGATCTAGTACGAAATTCTCAAAAACGTTATCATTGAATCAAATAACATCATTTGGAGATTTGATGCCTATAGTACAATGAAGAACCAGAAGCATCAAAAGGGAGTACTGACCAGTCCATGGAATCCTACAGGAAAGCTACAGAGTCAAAAGAGTTTAGACAAGGAACCCCAGGAATCAAGGAGATACTCAAGAAAAAATGTTCAGCAGTTGAATCTTTCCCAGTCTACTCCTACATGATGATTACATGTCAACTCCATCATTTCAGGAATATTCTTCAGACAAATGAAAACAAAAATCACTTGACTAGCATGGTTGAATATCTGTTAAAAGAGAAATGAAATAGCCCGATGCAATCAACAATGGAGAATATTAGCATAAATCAATGGAGTTAACAAGGATTGTAGCATTGACATAAGGACCCTGACTGTATCCTATTGGTTTTTGAGTTGTATTTTAGGTCAATAAATCCAGATTCTGCTTTATTTTTACCAGTCGACATATGATGGACAATTAAACAAGTGAAAACAGTAGTGATACTGAACTGTACCTTGACGAATAATTAAAGCACCAAGCCCAGTTGGATAGCCAAACATCTAAATGAGAATCAAAAAAGAAACAGGATGTAAAAACTGACTGGATACGGTATGCAAACAATAATGCAAACAGAAAAATGAATAGATTCTGGCTAATGGACATCAACAGATACCTTGTAGAACGAAATAACAATAAAATCAGCTGGGAACCTAGATAAATCTGGTGGTTCAGTAGCACATCCCTTTGAAGCATCAATTAAAACCATCCATCTCCCACTGCCTCAACAAAATAAATTGTGTAGAAAACTTTCTAATCAACTGTTATAATGATAGGAAAAATCAAAGAAGATGAAAAAAAGAGGAGCATTAATGCCAAGAAAGAAAATACAACCTGTAGATCAGTTTTCTTAGAAAGTACAGCAATAGAATGCAAATTTATGGAAGATGGTGATCAAACCAGAAACAATAACACGATATGGGAACTCTTATTCAACAGATGCAGATATATATTACCATGCCACATCACAAAATAAAATTAAAGAAAACCAAAATGATAAATGATGTTGTTAATAAAAATGGTAGATTTAAAGAATCCTGTGTTCATCCCCTTGCATGTGGACAATGCATTTCATTGATGTGTCTAATGCTAATCAAGACATGTACATGATGTCAATGATTATATCTCAAGTAATGAGTGTCTGTTTCTGAAAAATGAGTGATCGCAAGTGAAGTTGAAATAGAAGGAAATGAAGCTGATATTAATGCTGTTAATTCGTATCTCCACCATCACTACTTTGGTAATAGTAACACCAAAAATAGTAATTAATCATCACAATCAATCATCTTTCATATAACTCCAAATTATATAAAATACCAAAATTGTAATGATGCGACAAGTCATCATGATGTGTGCAGAACATCTAGAGATGATCAAATATAATAAAAAAAACATTTGGAATTCCCTGGCAAGATACATAGAATTTATCCTTTATCTGATCCTTACATGAGTATATATGTATTGTTTTGATTGCCTCCTACCATGTCCCACCTCCACAACTGTCTACTCCCATGAGTGTCATTAACAGCAGCTTTACCATATAATTCATTGCTATAACTTTTTAAGTACAATGTAAGCAAACACCTCTTTAGCAAATCACATGGAGAAATCTCTAAACTTTCTTAACAGGCTACATGCCTTAAGTAAACCATTAGTGAGGCATAAACTGCGCAGAATCTATTATTTCATGCATTTACTAATAAAAAGCAGCCCTATCTTATTCCTCAGAGACTCGATTTCTCTTTGCTAATTTTTGGCATCGCACAATTATTCTTAAAACCATTATTGTCCTATTTCTCTACTTGCAAATTATTCTCCAACCAATCTGTTTTCTTCATTCATAACACAATATTAGGATTATCTTAAGCTTTTAAGAAAGTCCAAAGACAAGCCGGTTCATCTGGCTCTTCTTCTGATTCTGCTTTATTTTTCTTAATATTTACTTTTAGCAGCTAAACACAACTGGATCTCCATATTCTTTCTGATAAATTAGAGCAATTACAATGTCCGCTTGCTTCCATCCATCTCCAAATTGCCTGACTTTGAAATTTAGAGATGAGTGACAATTTTTTCTCTATCATGATATCAAAAAATGCATTTCTACCATGACATAATCTATGCATGTCTTCATATGTTACTTATCCATCTAGTAATCGCTCCATCATTAATAAGAACGACCAAACACGTGGCTCTCCCTCTAAACCGGGAGTTTGGAGCAACATGAAGCGACCATTGTTGATGATTCGGAACCCATTGCGACCAAAAGGCTAGCTATCAATCGGAATGCATGCATGCTCTAGTCCTCTAACTATTTCCTGCCAACCTTACACATAAATTTACTCCTCAGAAAAAGAATTTTGGTACAGATCACAGGTCATCAGCAGCTGCAACTGATCTTCACCAACCGGCTCTAGTGTGCTTTCTCCTCCCACTCATCCCTTCTGCTAATGCTTCTCCATCCTGGCCTAGTTGTCTTCTCCTCCCACCCACCAATTCCCTGCACGCTTTCTATTTCTTGATCTTTTCTAAGCATGCCCACTGGACTTTGAGTCATTACTGAGCCCTGCCAGGGCACAAATAAGCCAGTCAATCCTTCATGTATGTTGCGTCATTTATCATCCCCTCAGCTGTTCACAAAGAAAATCAGTAACCGCCGTAACACTATTCAAATATATTAAATGATGAATATAAACCTTGTGGTTTCACAGCCTTCATGATATCCTTTAAGAAAGTATCAGAAAACTTCAAAGTAGAAACCACAAACATACAAGTGTATCTAAAAATTTCACTAGTTTGTCTAGATAAATGAAAATGGGATTAAATAAGAGATAAAAATATCACTTTAAAGTAAAAAAATTCAACACACTTGCATTTTGTTGAGCCTTCCAAAATTTTCCCCGCATTTCCCTTGATGATTTCAACCAAATCAAGATGAAACTTCCGACCAGAGAAATTGCACTCCGAAGGGAAGGCAAACAGATTGAAAACTTCACCTACATCAATAGCGTACAAGATGTAAAAAAGATGCTCAAAGCAATTATATTCGATGCATTCACACCTAATACTATCATTTCCGTGAAATTTCCATATCTTCTTCTTCACAGAACATAAATATCTCAATTATCCAATCCATAATTTTGTTTACGAAAAATAGAGACTATATGAAAGTATTTCCATTTTGTAACAAACAAACTAAATGATGAGGTAAAATATACTGGTTGTCCACGTCAAAGCTAAGTGACACTATATCACCAAATGGTTCAACTTGTCTCTTGCAATGTGGTATTGTAATAAAAACATCATGAAAATAATACACCGGGACTTTTTCCATTTTTTGATGATCCACTACTATCTGCCTTTTTACCATTTAGAGATCCGTCCGAAGATCTCAGTGCAGCCCTCCTTTGTACAGGGTGCTTTGAAATATCAATGGAATCATAGGACGCAGAAAATCCAGTATGAAGCTTGCAATCTTCAATATCCACTGCCAGAGCCGAAGCACCGTGCTCAAGAGCATATCTACAGAGAAATTAAGGATACACAAAAGAAAACATGAAATGAACATTCTAATATTAAACAGGATACAACCTCAGAACATGGTACATGTAGCCGCTCAACATTTACTCATGAAACACTTTTTTGCAGGATTCTCATGGTCTCAATTATCAGAATTTTATAAAAAAAAAGAGAAATTAAAAGGCACCTGTTACACCAAGACATGGGTGTCATACACCTAATCCCCCCCCCCTCCCCCCCCCAACTCAAGATGCCAAGACTCAGGCAAGATGAGGCTTTTAGGTTGAAGAATTTTTCACTTAAACAGATAGCACCTAGGTAAGGAGAAGAAATGGATCACACCAACTTCCATCGTCCAATAAATTCTCCACCCTTATCATTGATTCAACGTCTCAGCAAAACAAATTTGTGAGCACTAAAAAAAATGTCCAGTAATCTAGGCGGATTACTATTAATCAACCGAGCATGCAATTAATATCTACTTCCCAACTATATCACATGCAAGAGAACCTGTAAAGTCAGAGAAAATGCATGAGCAACATAACAGCAAATTTCTCATAGAAAAAAGTTTTGAAGTGTTCATCTACATCCCCACCTAAAAATACCACACCGACCTAAAAGAAGACAACTAGTACATCATAACTAAGGAATCAGTGTAAAGCGTGAGGAAATTCAAGCATTTGGAATGATGTGGAATGGAAATTCAAGCAAAATAACAGTAAAGAAGGTCAATTGAAAGAAATCTGGTGAATCAGAAAGCATGATGATGAACTGAGATCGCTAGGAAAATGCGAAGCAAAAAGATTTTCCCAAATTTTGCCAAGGAAATGCTGATTTAGGAAACTTAATAAAGGTACGAGGAAGTTACTCAAGCACCGAATTTTAGGATGTTCATCTGATAGGTTAGGCACAAAAAACAGAAGGGAAGCAATCCACAGGAAAGCTAAAATAAGAGATGAAAAACGATTTCCAGTGTTCAATGTTTTAAAAATTGGGCAAAGACTGATAAAGTGCAGGAAACAAAGCAAATTATAAGTTTCTAAAATCGGTCTGGCCTGATTCTGAGAAGATCAGGTATTGAATTTTTTTTTTTGAGAGATTAAACCTGATCTTCTCAGAATGACATGATAAAGCAAATGACATATCCTTTTTGAAATTTTCCTTTTTGAGAGATTAAACCTGATCTTCTTTGCAGGCCATCAGCCATCATAGTTATCATTGGAAGCCTGCAAAGAAGATATGATGGCTGATGCCTCTCACTTTTTCATCTCCACTATAGAAATGCATAAAAACCTTCAGCAAATGATTTCTTTAAATGACATAACATATTACTCCTGTTCTCTTCAGGAGTACTTTATAACTTTTCATAAACTTTATATATACTAAAAAATTAAGAGTAATAAATATTTCAATTTTAATTTTTAAAACCCAGAAGGAATATCCATATTAAGCATGCACATGCATATTCCCAAACACAAATGAACATGGAAACACATAGAATCTCTCAAGGGAAAGATACTCTCTGATCCCAAGAACACTATTATGGTTCTCAATCGTATACATGTAGCAGCTTTCTTTGCTCCAAGGAAAGGCTTCTCCCACCAATTTGAGCCCTGCAGTTGCTCCAGAAGTAAAAATACAGGTATATTCTCTTGGTGATGCATTACACAGTTCAAGGACCTGCATACAGACGGTATATAATATTTAAAACTGGTTAAAAAAAAATATTAAGTTAATCCAAGTACTAGGCTATACCAAGAAAGAGTAAATGACCATGAATCATGAAAAAATGTTGCAATCCCCTGAATGAATAGCACAGAGACAGTTATGCATTTGAGCACAATCCTCGACAGCCTTTGGGGATCAGTTAATATCTTTAAAAGAAATGGCAAACAAAACCAAATCATAGAGGATAATGTTTCTCATTTTTGAATGAGTAAAAAAAAAATCTCAGAAAAAAACTAAAAACTCCATCTACCCTCATTAGCTCTCAATCATAGGAGTCAGTGTACGAAATTAGAAGGTTTTACACCCTAGAAAACAAATCCACTCATTTAGGAGCCTTAGGTTGCCCAAGGTTAGAGCTATCCCCCCTCTAGGCTTAACTTGCAGACTGACTGCATGGATTGACTTCCCCTTCAGATAAAATCTAGATGTTGACCTTATCTCATCACTCTCGAAATAATCACGAGCACATAGAGACTTTATTTAAATAATGATCCATATCACACACAATAGTAAAATCTTTCAACAAATTTCTGAGTTCTAAAAATTTCCCAACTCTGTTATAATGGGCCTCTTGAGAAATTAAATATGAAGGTCATTAACTAAAATTAAATAATCCCCCAGAAAATGGGCCAGCTATGCCTTTCTTCATTGGTCGATTGACTTGGAGGATGATACTAACTTGGTGATTGATATAGCTGCACCATAAAATCAAGACATTAAGCCTACCTTAAGTCATACCAATATCAATTTTGTAACGCCATAGCAAGAAATAAATCATGTCTGACGTTTTTTCCATTGATCAGCATTGATATTTCTCTGATAATCGCTTCTCTTGTGGGCTGAGCAATTATATCCAGGCTTTTTTTGCAGTCTGTCCATATTTTTTCCTTCCTCCACTTGTATTCAACTATTTTAACACGCATAAATAAATCGCTCAAAAGATCCATAAAGAAATTAAAAAAACGTGGAAAAATATTTCACTGATGAAGAAACACGGCATATATTCTTCCCAAGAAAATTCAGCTGCACCAACAACGGAGAGGAAAATACCTGCTGACGAGCTGCGCTAATCACATCAGATGTCGCCATGCTCGAATCGCTCTGGCTATCTATACTCTCAAAAGTTAACGAGTACTGTTTACCTACGTACATTATGATCGTCTCAAGATGGCCGGCAGGATAAGAAAACTAAAATGTATATATCCGATAACAAAACGGATGAACAACAATGAAAAAAACAAGATTTTTAATAAATAACGAAAGAAAATCTTTGTTCTAATGCGGCAGCATGCTTGGATACGAGGATTTCCGTAGACATTGGAAGTGAGGTCCTTGGCGACGGCTTCCATTTGAGCCTCGGAGTACAGGGTGGCCCCGGCATGGTCCAAGTAGACAAGCCCTGAAATTGGCCCACGTCCCAGGAACAGCCAAGGTTAAATATGGCTGGGGCATTGGACAAAGCAGCGAATTCAGGCTCTTCTTCTGGCAGCTCACCTTCCAGTCTCTTGAACTCGGAAGCTCTAATCTCCTCGACCTTCTTCTCTGCACCTGGGTAACCGTAGTCTGCGCCGAACTGCCTCAAGAATTCCTCCCCATCTTCCATCGTCTCCCCGTGGAATGAATTCGCGTCGAGCGGCAAACCCAGCTTCACCGACCCTCCAAGCCTCTCTTGAGCAGCAATCCTGCTTGTGATAAACTCCTGCAAAACTGGTATAACTAAAAATATTAATCATTTTTTACCACATCATTTCCTAAAAAGGATTTAGAATTCCGCCGCATGTGGGTCCTACCGCCTGTAGAGCCCCGGTGGCTCTACATCAACTTCACGACCGTTCTACAAGGGTTTGACCATTGTTTCCGAGGGGGGCCCTCAAGCACTGTGAGGCCAGGCTAATCAGGTAAGAGTCAATTTTTTAAAAGGAAAGTATTTTTAAAATTAATATAAAAATTCTCAAAATTAATAAATTTATATTGATGATAGTTTTTATCAAAATTGAATAAATCATACAATAAATTTGAATTATGAAGATTAGTAAATGGGTCAAACGTGGTACCGGAGTCAAACTTGGGATTTGATGTGTTTGAAGTTTGGTGGTCTAGAGTCAACCTTGGAGAGTCTCACACACTTTCTCAGACTCATTCTACGGAGTCTTGTGCCATCTCTCTCTCTATCTCTCTCTATACATATATATATATATATGTATCGTCATAAGTCTTAGGCGTTTTTACAATTAATTAACCAATTATCTAGCTAAGATAAGTATTTTTCTAAAAGACCCTAAATATATATATATATATTCATAGGTCTTAGCAAAGTTAAAGACCTCATGTTTCCTCACAAGCACATCCATCTCGCTCTCTCTCTCTCTCTCTCTCTCTCTCTCTCTCTCTCTCTCTCTCTCTCTCTCTAAATGTATGTATAGATCTAGCTATTTATCTAAGCAAGTTGACTTCAACTCACTAGTGGGTCACATCTATTTGACTATACCAATCGAATAATGTCCATTGAAGGTAACATAATCAATACTCTCCCTGAAATACAACCGATCATAATTCATAGTCTCTCTACCCAAAAGCAGACACCAACCGGCCCAGTGTCCAACAAACCCACAAGGGAGACAAATTAGAGCCATGGAACTAAGGACCAAACCTGGGCCTAGACCCAAGTGTGACACCCTCAACACAAAGGACCAAGGTTCCGAGAGTGGACTATCACCCCCTCACCTAGGCAGGTCAATGCTCTATGTGAAGCATGTACAACACATATTGATGGCACATCACATCACACTATGGCGCAACACACATAGATGACCGCTACATGTGAAGAGGGGCATGGTGGCATGGTGCCAGCATGTAGAGGAGCATGATGGCACAACATGATGCGCATGAGCATACACTGTTCACACTCCAAAACACACTAGTTGGTGGGGTGGCAAGACAAGACGAGTTTGACAAGATACAGTCCTAAATCTCATGGGCAAAATGTGCATGGCCACACGTGCGCTAACACACAAGGGCAATAGTACACATGTGGAGCCATGTAAAACTCAAGTAGAGTATCACGCCTGACCAAGGTGAACTTGGCATGATTTGGCCTCAATGACATGGACGACTAGCCACATAGGGTGCACCGATGAGTGGCATGGCACATGACAGTTAATTATGCATGTATCTCACTCCCTTACAGAAAAGGCCCCATTTATAGAATAGATTAGGGAGAAGAGAGGTCTTCCACCATGAGTGGCATATTCCCACTTGAGGATAAGAATACAAGTCCATGGAGCGAACCAAGCTTGCCAAGAGAGGCTACTTGGGCATCGGCGGCAATGTCCAGGGCTGACACAAGGTGAAGGAGAAGAGAGACACCTTCCTGGCCCGGTGACACCAAGCCCAAGCCCACCCCCAATGAAGCAGCCTTGCCCCACATAGTCATGTATTATTTATGAACTATATATAATGCAAACCATAGTGCTGGTAAGGTCACGTCCTAATGGACGTAGGGTGGGCTTACCGGCCGATTGAGAAGTTGGAAGTAAAAGTGATGTGATCCCTCCCTTCATCTGCTGAGATGAACACAATTAAACAAATGGAATTCCTTCCAGGTGTCTGTTTCAACTATTCCTGCCCTCCGAATCCTTTTGACTTTGTGTCCCGCCGCCCGCCGGCTTTGTCGGCACCCCGCTGCAGCTAGAGATGCTCAAGCCGCTCGTGAAGGTTTTCAACGTGCGTTATACCGAGTCCAATAGGGGACCGTACTGATATCAAATCACCATTGGTCGTGGCTGTTCTTGAACCGTTCAATCCGTAGATTTTTTAGGGATCAGAATAATCTGGCCGAGAAATCTTCGTCGTCGCTGTAGTGATCGGCGATCAGGCTAATCATTATCGTCCTGATCGTTGATCAGGATCACCATTGATCCTCACGAACAGGGAGTGCAACCAAATCCTCTCTGAAATAGGCCCCGTGAGGTCGACACATGGAATTCGGCAAATGCGCAGAAAGAGGGAGGGAGAGAGAGAGAGGGTAAAGAGAGAATGAGAGAGAGAGAGAGAGAGAGAGAGAGAGAGAAGGTAGAGAGAGAATGAGTGAGAAAGAGAGAGAGAGAGAGAGAGAAAGGGTCAAGTAGGGGTGGGGGAAGACACGGAGAGGAGGGATTTCCCCGCACGCCACCTGCATGGAGTGGCGGGAAAAGACGGCGCCGCCACCGGATGACGTGGGAGGTGAGAAGTCCGGGGGGCGGGGTGAGAAGGTCCGTGGATCCAAGAACGCATCGAGGTGATGGGGAGGACGACGAGGAGCTTCTCTTCACGTGAACTGTGGCGATAGGGGAATGGACAGGGATCTCAAGACGTGTATGATTTTACGTCGACTGAGATGGGAGCTGTCTTTATGTGGAAAGGTATCCCACATAGATCGTAACTCCCCTCTCTCTCTCTTTCTCTCTCTTTCTCTCTCTTTCTCTCTCTTTCTCTCACTTTCTCTCTCTTAATTTGTCAGACCGACAAACGTAGACATCCAAGGTTAGGTTGATGTCCCGACTTCGAACATTGACTTCGCGAAGGCGAACCACTTCGACGGCCACTGGCCGGAAATTCTTTCACCATTTCAAATATTCGGCTCTCCCCCCGTTTCTCTCTCTCTCTCTCTTCAACTTCCTCTCTACCCTCCCAACCTTTGTGTGTGAAGGCACGCTTTTTTGGCAAACCTGTAACGGGTCGCTTGCTGGAGATTGACTTTGGGAGATCTTTCTTACAAGAAGAGTAAATCGGGAGCTTTTACGCCTAACTTGACGGCATTTGGAAAGAAAACTACAGCTACAATTAATGGGGAAAGTCAAACCTGTACATAAAATATGACCATTCTATGATTTGCTTCATTCTAGATAGTCCTCGTTTTCATAGCATACTTGACAGAACTTTTCAGGTATGAACATGATGTGAGAGAGCATCCTACTAAACTTAAAACAGTGAATAAAACCCACAGATTTCTTCTTCTTCTTTTCACACATTTCTTATTAATGTTGGGTGCTAGCTTGCTCTGAACTGTCTCTATCTCTTCTGACTTCGTGGACAAGTTTAATAATTGCCATGGCGGGAAGACGACCCAGATGTCAACTGAGAAACTAAGGATGAATTTAGATCCTGGGGTGGGATTTATGCAACTAAGATCAGGATATATGAGCATGGAGAAAAAGCTTAGCTCAATCTACCTCAGTAAACTCGAAGAGATAAGGATGAGGCTCTGGATATAGGGTAGCCTAACTTCAACCATGGAGGGGAGGGGGAGCTGGTCGGCTTTAAAATGGCGTGTCTCGGAAGATGGGGGCTGTTTGGCTTTTTGAAAGGCAGCGAGAGGGGATGTATGGCTTGACTTGGTCTGGGAGGCGATTCCGGCCCTCTGTTTGTTCATATATAAACGGAAGGACGTGAAGGGGGAGCTTCGCTTGCTCTTCTGGCTTTCGCCATCGGGTTTGAGAGGATGATGAAGGGAGGGCGGCGGAGATGGGGAGTGAGGCAGTACAACCGGTCGGAGGCGCCACGACTGCGGTGGACGGAGGAACTCCACGGCCGCTTCGTGGAGGCTGTACACCGCCTCGGTGGCCATGAGAGTAAGCTCCTCCCATGGAGAGAAGAGAAACTATCCCTCCCCCCTTCCTTCTTCTCTTCTCTTCCTTCTCTCTCCCTCTCTCTCCCTCTCTCTCCCTCTCTCTCCCTCTCTCTCCCTCTCTCTCCCTCTCTCTCCCTCTCTC